GTACAAGGGTCTTTCAATAAGTCAATAAGTTAATAAGTCCATGGCGTTCGCAGCATCGAAAATAAATTTTTGCAATTAAGTAGCCCTCCCAACTTGTCAGCTGTTCAAGTTTCAGCTGTATCCATCACTCGATTGTTGATAAAAATTGATAGAAATGGGTTTCGAGCAGTGTTTAAGCACTTGAATTTGAAAGGGTTGAACGATATTTACAATTGAATGAATGAGTTTAACCGTGACGTAGATCCTCAAAATATGAATCCAGATCGAGCGCCCTCTGGAATTGTTTTCTCCGAAAATTATTGACATAATCCACTAATTAAGTGGTCGATGAATCAAAGTACACAGTTGAGGCCACAGGCTTGTTGCAAGACACAGTTGGCTTGAATTTTGCATGAAAACTGGAGTGTGAAGAAAATTCGGCCCTGTTGATATAGTTTAGAATATCTTAAATAATAATAATGCCAAATGGTAAAATAAAATACAAAAGAGCATATATCAACCAAAACTAACTTATGCCTCTTAATTTTTTATCTCCACGCACATTGAACCGTATATTTCTTTTGCTTACATTTCGTCATTTAGCACTCTCACTCAAAATTAGAATTTTATTATAAGCACTTTTTCATTTGATCTGGCCATTCCGTTGGATAGAACTCCTGTAAAAATGAAAATTTCATACTTGGCTTCAATTTGGCTAACCAAGATAATTTTAAACGTGTCATTCCTAAAGGACAAAAGAGCATCGTTTAAAGAAAGATCATTTAGGGCGAAAAAAACAGCAAACCCATTAGATAAGAAAATAATGCATCTGCCGTCGAATAATGAAGAAATTCGATGTGTAGCAACTCAAACGTAACCTGCCCGAAGGAACACAAAACACGGACGCCTCTGGTCACGTATGCACTTAAATTTGGAGATAAAAAATCGTGTTGCATGTGTCGAGGAACATAAACAAGTAAAAGTGGTCGGTCAAGATGGAATTAAGGCACTGGAGCTTGAAGTTGAGAAAGCGAACTGACATGTACACATGGTGTTGTTTTTAAGTGGGTTACCCCGTGGCCGGCATTTGCATAAAAGTTCTTCCATATTTTCAACTGGGATGCAAACACGTAATACAACAATGCAGATCTCCAACGCTATAGTTTAGGTACTTGTAGGTACGTAAGTACTACTAGCATCTTCCAATAATTAAACGGAGTCTTTTGGCTTTAATTAATAGATATGTGGTTCTTTGAATCTACGAAAAATTATTGCAAATAGGTCACATCGGTGTCACATTGTCGACTATTATAAAAATTATCTTTAAATATGTAGGCCGAAAATGAACTTTTTTCTCAAATTTTCTCCAAAATGTATAGTATATTATGGATAGTGGCAAAGTTGACATCTTAAAGTGACACACCTCTTTCTATTTAAAAAGTAGTCTTGTCTTCGTAAAACAATTTCCACGCTTTAATTTCCAGTAAATTTTTCCAAAATATTGTACAATGAAGTAAAAATTGTGTGTAATTTTGAGTGCATTTATTTACAGCGACTGTTAATTCAATTATTTAGTCCCATTTGAGAACAAAATGACAAATAATAAATATAAGCGCAACAAACTACTTTGTTACTTTGTCCAGAAGAATCTACTAAGGGCGTTCTTGACTAAGACATCGACTGTGAATGAATTTCTTTCAAATAAATGGGAACCAAAACCGGGCTCCCTTTAAAGTCTATGTATTAAGGATAAAATACAAATTCGGGAGATTTTTTTCGATCTTAACTAGTTTTGATGATTTTTGAAACTTTAGGATTTCGCAAATTTAACTAACTGTTTTAAAATAGTAGTTCACAAAAGGACCGTCTTCAGCGCCATTCTAAACATTATATACAGGGTGAAATTAAAAGGGAGATGTCATTTGCCACAAACAATTCTGTAGTCCAGAGATTTTTGAAAAAAAAGTGCCGTGTAATCCAAAAATTTACAAGTTTACAAATGGACATAATTCATACTATACCTAAATGCGATGCTCAATTGAGTAAATTCAAGTCCATGCATTAAATGAACCCGGTATATGGTGTGGCAAAGTAGTATATCTCCCTTACTTACAATTGTTTTAAAAAAATATTTTATAGATGTTGCATAAAATCCAAATGCTAAGAGCTAAAAGCAAACGTGAAAAAAATTTTGAACTGTACACAGGGTCCCATTTTGGTCGCAACTGAGTAGTATGCCCGTTGTTAATGAAGATTGAGCCTTGCGTTTTCGCAAATCTTTGGTGCCTTTTTTGTGAAACGAAAGAGGATGTTAACAAAATTTTCATGACTTTGTCATGTTTAGGGCACCCCTCGTATCTCGGGTATCCTATGAAATGTCGGAAGGATGAAAAGCGCCGCCGATATAAATTTTTACGTAGAATTCAGTAGCGTAGTCAGTTTTTTTTTAATGGTTTCGTCTTTTTGAAAAAAAAAAGAGTTTTTTTTTTAATGAACCGCCCTTAATTTTATAGGCCAATTGGATTCGGCTTGGTAGGAGCTTCTCCAAATTATGGTTATTAAATGGAGTTATTTGTATAAAATGACATCACAAAAATGACTGACTGACAAGTATCCATTGATTTCGAAATATATTTTTTAGTTTTCAGGGACCTATCAAAACCGACCACGGTTTTTGTTTAGTTGAGAACATAAATAGTATAGAGTGTAACCATTGCTTTCTTCCCTATTCCCCTAAATTGGTCGACACTGTGTTAAACGATTTTATATCTCCATGAACGTCACGAGCGTACATTTATCTCATATGTTCAATTGTTCCGGCTATGCCAAAGTTCACGTAGATGTGTAGATGTATGTTCGTTATCTAAACAATGCGCTATAAAATCTGTAACCTTATCACAGATCCAATCTGCGATTAGCCTTCGCAGAAGTTAATTGACCGGTTGAATTGTTCCCGCAGTGTAAATAGCGAATTACAACCTAAAATGTAGGTAAGCATACATCGGGAACGCACGAATGGAAAAAATATTAAAATCTGCCGCGTGAAAAGCGAATTAAAATCGCAACTGGAAAAAATTGCATCGCAGATCTGACTAATGACAGTAGTAGAAAAAATGATATCAGAAATGACTGCCGGAAACGGACCCATTGCACTGGAACTTCTTCCGCTTTCCAAGGTTACGTAAGACCGTTACAGTCCGAGGTCGTCAGATTCTTGCTTGATTTATTTTGTTTTAAATTGATACAATTTTACACAATTTAGTGACGGTACTTCAGAACAAGTTGCAAACGCGCGTTATCTTATGAACATTATTTTAAAGGAGCTTAGTAAATGCAATATAATTGTTAGCAACTTTTCCCGCCTACGTGTGTAATTAGCTGTGACCATATTGTACATGACGCACTTAAATTAACCAAACAAAACGCACATAACGAAGGACGCCTTTAATTAATTTATAACGGCTTGCATTTTCGCAAAAATTATAAACAGATGCTCTTGCTCAATATGTGTACAAATAGTTCATAAATTTCAAATTCAATTAGTTCAATTAGTTTCATGCTTCTGAAACTCATTTATGATTTATGTTTGGTTTCTTCCGTTATGTTCATGTGTCTATAGTTATTGAGAGACGCAGTTGGAAGCACAATAAATCAAATATTGCACTGAGTATTACTGTTAATATTCGCAATTTCATTTTTGATTTTGCGTTACCAATGGAATAGGCGAAATAAAATAAGTACCTATTCAAAATGATGCAAAATTTGTTATAGTGTGCCTAAAACTTGACTTTATTATTGACACAAACAGAACATTATTCATATAACAAGAATTTCCGGCATAAACAGGATAACCAATAAGGGCATATAAAAAAATAGATAGAAATAGATAGAAAATGTTGAGTTGAACCCCTTAGAAGCATCAGTTTTTGTGTGCAACACCACGATATGTATTTTTGACATAGTAGAGACCAAGAAAGTACTAAGTATTTGCCCTCAGCTGGGCAGCACATGTAGTATTTTAAATTAAATAATTCAATTGTCTTAACCTATTCTTTTTACTTTTTATTTTTTACAAAAACACTCATATAAAAATATATGTAAATGCAGGTTACATGAGCAAACTAGATAATTTGAGGCGTTATAACCATTTATTTGTGTTTGCTTGTCTGTTAAGAGGTGAAGTTAAAAAAAAAATTAATTATATCCTATCCTTATCAAATTACTTTGTTAATCTTCCAAGTGTATATCCCACTAAATCTTTAATCTTTTAAAAAATTGTAGTTAACATTTTTTTTATCTATGTGCACAATTTTGAAAATAAAACCGTGTTATGACCTTAAAATGGTTTTTAATTTACTCCTGATTATACCAAAAGTGTAAATTAAAGGTTAACTTATATACGACAGTCTACTTCCCATAAAAAGTCGGACTCTCTTTCACCGAACATTTCCTTTAATTTGCAATTTTAATTTATATGTGAACTTAGCACCCGCATTTTCGTGCCATAGCCATCAATTTGTTTCCATTAAGGAGGACTAAAAGGACATACAGCAACAATGTCTTGTGTCAAAAAAAATTTTTGCTTCTATTTTTACAGTAGTAGATTTGGAGTTTCAGTTGACAATTAATTTCATGTGAAATCAATTAAATCACCTGTCGTAAGTTAAAAGCAATAAAATTTTATAAATAGGTATAACATAATATACATTTTTTCATTTCGACAAATAATTAGTGGTAAATTAAATATTCAGCAATAAAAGCTCTCATGCATTATTTTGATATAACCTACGCATTTACAACCCAACCACAAATGATTTATGTTTATGTTATCTAGATTTACTTTTAAAAACAAAGGAAATTTCAAATACCTGCTAGAACAATTTCGAAAAGCTCAATTTGCAAGACGAATTTCTGAACCATTTAGTCCATCGCAGTTCCGTCTGCACAATCTTAGGATATAAGAGAATGCGGAATCGGAATGCATATTCGTTATTTTGATTCGACTTGTTTCTTTGTTTCAGACGGGCCAATCCTTCGGAGGGATCGGCTTCGGTATCAAACGCGAGATATTCTTTTTAAACCTTGAGGACGGATATTTCGGATGTCAAGTAAACGAATCGACCGACGTTTTACAACTTTTCGAATTGTCGAAATTATGCGACGGAATTCCGAACTGCTACCTCGGATCCGACGAACTGGCCAAGGAACTGAAATGTACAGGTGCGTCTGAATTTATTTTATTTTTTCATCAACAATATGCAAATAGTCACTCTTTGATTGCAACCTGCAAATTACTCATGTGTTTGGTGTTTCTCATCTTAAATTTGTCCTATTATATATTTATTATTTGAGAATTTTAGAGTATTTTTCATATATGCCGGAAATTGATAAACTATCAGGAATTCTTATCGTTAACACTACTTTCGATTTGAAACCTAAAAATCAGCCTCACAAAGGTACAATTGAATTAAAGTCCATTCCAAAGAAAAATATAGAAAACGCTGTCATAGATATTAATACCAAGAGACTCTTGTCATGTCATGTCAAAAAGCTAAGAAGATTTCAACTTAATTGTAAAAATAGTTCTTGTACCAAAATGCCCTCCGCAGGACTAGTTGCAAGCATTTAGAAAACATAATATGTTTATGTGGCTCACAACCAAAACATATTTAAGAGACAAGACAAACCCTTAATATTTTCGGGGCTACACATAATATCATATCATAATATCATAAACGCATATGATTACTATTGAAGCAGGTGATTGGCGGAACAAATTCATAAATGTTTGTTTATATTGGCTGCCGGTTTTTAGTCATTTTATTACTTGTCTTGTCTCCTTTGGATAGAATGTCTTTGGTCGCAACATACTAGATGTTAAGAAAAGTGAAATTTTCATTTTTTTTTTAAGTGGTTCCAGGAAATCATTGCATAGATTCAAAAGTTCGAGAAATCTAGAAAACTAAATGCTTGAAAATGGCTTTGGTGCTCGAGCAAACGAAAGTCTCCCCTAACTTGAATTTAGGTGGCTCCTAAAAATTTTTTTTAATTGATCCTGAAATAGACACAGTATAGTCCAAGATTAAGTGAGATAATGCTAATCAAATAATTGTAAAATGGGCAGATATTTATGACATTTCCTACATAATTTTTTTAATTATGTTTCTAGCACTCTTTGAAAAATTCACTACTTGTTTGTTATTGCCATTTTTTATTTCACAGAAAGCTGAAACTTTGGACGTGGTAAAAAAATCTGAAAAGTGATTTTTTATAATCTGCACAGAATATTATGGGAGCCAGTTAGTTGATATACTATGTAAAATACAATGAAAGAAAAAATAAGAATGAAAAAAATGAAAAAAACAATTCCAAAACAACATCCAATTTCCGGTAAAATCGGATAAAAATTTGTATTGTAAGAGATGTTGATTTCTAAAACACCCTCAATCTATATTTCGACAATTTCTTAGTATTTCTACCATCAATCTATATTTTGCGGTTAGAAGAGTGCCGAAACTAACATCTACAAATCGATGTAACTGTAGAAGTCACAACTAAGTTCACCATAAAATTCAGGCCATTTAGTAACTTACTAACAGGTTTGGTTAAGTTTAACCAATGATTTCCAAACATTTTAAAATATGGAAACTTTTCTCGTCCTTTTATCTTCTCAACGCAATTAACAACCCTTGTGTTGCGAACTAACCAAAACTAACCAAAACTAACCAAAACTAATCAAGGGCTTTTAAGCTTGTATAAATAATCCATAAATCAGGTAGTTTCAATTCGGTTCAAAACTAACAAATATTAATTAATATATCAGAACACGTGTGATAACCTACGCAATAAACTTCAGTCTTCTACAGATTCAAGCATAACATTGATCAACGTTTTAATTGGATTTACGTTTTGAACAAGAAAATAAGAAAAATGGTTAATTTATCGCAAACTGCTAAAGGTTGCGAAGTACAAACACAAATACGCTATTTGCAACAGGTGCTTAAAAGAATATCGATTATTTTTTGTGTCATCGGTGCTCGCTCAATACACGCAATTTATTCAAGCAAATTTTAGATCGCCGATAAAAAGCGTTTTAAAGGTAGCCTTTTATCTCTTTCTATCTATTGGTACGTTGCTACTTGTAATAATTAATGGCGAATATACGCAGTAAATAGATTTTAAAGGTCGATACAAGCAGCTCATTTTAAAACGAAATTGCTAACTTGTTTTTTTTTGACTTTCTGCTGTTTATTCATTCCACAGAACATACCACGAATGGTTCTGTCATAACAAATTAGTAGCAAGCTTCACTGTTAGCTGTTAAATACAATAAATTTAAAAGAGTGTACTACTTTCCATTTAAAATTAAATGTATTAATATGAATAATTAAAAATAGCTTTATTTTTTCTATTCTCTATTCTGTTTGATCCATATTTCAATCCTTGACAAGCAAGTGAATTAAAAGTCACGAAAATACCAATTAATTAACTGCAGACATATTGATTTATTACTTGAACATTTAAACTTAAAGTACAATAATTTGTATTTTTTTATTTTTATTATTTTTATTATTTTGTTATTTAAAAAATATGTTATAAATCAGTAAACTGGCAATTGACGACCCATATCTCTCTTAAATTCTTTTTTTTTTAAGATTTAGTCCAATTTTAAAATCGTTAGTGTTTTCAAAAACGTTTCGCTAATTTCCAAGGTGAAACGGATATGCAAAACCCAAAAACAAGCAACAAAAATGAACAAATATAACACCAACAAAACAAAAATAGTACATTTTGCAATAAGTTGAATAAACACCACTTTAGTCACTTGTGGTGAGGGTGTTTAATAAACGAGTTTTTGAAAAACTTTATCGACATGTTGCGTACTATAGTTTTTAGTTTTTTTGGGTACATTTTTTAAAAACTGCAGGAAAGTGGCACTTTGCTGACGCCTGATCGATGCATAATTGGGTATTTTAGACCTTTATTGAGTGATAAAAGTTATATATGTGCCCATGCCACACTTTGTTAAATCCTTCCCTCGATATACATTAATTACCGAAGAGACCTTACCTCTTCTAGAGCCAGGAACAAATTTTTCTGACGTGTTATGTTATGTTGTATTGCTACATATATCAGTTATTTTCTCATATATTTAAATGAGCAGCGTGCACATTCATCTGACGTTGCGCATTCTAACGTGTTATGATAAAATGCGTCACTGTCCAACGCCTGACTTTACACGCTATTGCACATGGCAACACAACTGTTTCCGGAAAATATGCAACCCTTGTTTCTCTGCAAATTTAAAAAAAAATAAAAACTTTTTTATAAATCTCCTAGTTTTTCATATAATTTGTTGAAACTTATTCTCATATAAATTTTGTACTAGCAGAGAAAAGGGGTGTACGCTATTACTCTCCTAAATTTTCTCGATGAGGTAATACCGGAAATAACACCGTACGACCAATATCCTGAAAGAAACTAACCTCTTAAAGACATTTTCTCCAGATTTCGTTACAACCTAATTAACGGCAATCAGTTTGAAAAATAGTGGTTTTAGGAGACGTTAAAAATAATTCTACAACGTCAACATTAAAGTTAAAAACACCAACGAGATCAGCAAAGTACAATGGTTCAATTGTTTCCTAGAAAAATGTAATTGGGTTCACCTTTTCTGTTGATTTTTTGAAATTTATTTGAAAGTTACACTGACACTGTCCAGACACTCCTTAATTAAGGTTTAAGATGGATCTATTCCAAGAAAACGTAAGTAAAATATCAAGTATGTTATATTTTTCGAAAGGTAATTTTAAGTCCTTTTCCAAACATATACAGAGTGTCGCATATAAAAAATCAATATTTCGGTTAATAACTAATAAAAAATTAGTTTTAAAACACAAAACCTTCCATATCAAAAAAGTTAAAGCGATGAAATGCATATTTTCGAGAGACAACTTATATCTCGGAAAAATCTAGCCCCAGACATCTGAGTCCACCTTCAGCAAGGTCAGTTTTCCTTTAAAATTGTGCAATTTGGTCACCCTGCTCATTAATTAATAAAAATTAAAAGTTAAAACATAACCATTGCTCAATAAAATATTTTTTATTTTAATTGTCAATAACAAAAAATTAGGTATTTAAGTTAAATATTTCACGTATCTACTTATCTTCTTAGTTAATATTCATGCGCGCCATTTTAATAAAAACAAGAAAAGGAAAGGCACCATTTTAAAGAAATCCGGACTGATCCGCAAATTCCCACGATTGCGAATTTTGGAGGGTGTTGTAGCATTTCAGCAAAAACCAAATAGTTTTCAAAAAATATTCGTTATTTTACTTATTAAACGGACGTGCATGTGTGAAGGTAGACAAGCGGAACATTTAATTAAAATTTGTTATACATAATTTTTGAATATCATCAACTAAAATCAAAAATATGTTTTTTACTAATATTTATTTTTTTAATTTAATTTATTCTTGCACAAAATTTACACGAAAAGTGTAATTTTTCAAAAAAACTTCCACAGGCTATTGCAATACTATTTACAAAACTTCTGGATGCCGCAGTTGTTGTTGAATCGAACTTGCTGACATTTCACCAATCTTGCTGTTGGCTTTTTGTTGGCTTTTTCAAAGTTTAACAGAGTTAACAAAGTTATGCTCTAAAGAGGCCAATATGATGATTGGCGAAACGTCAGCAAGTTCGCAACTGGCCTCGTTGTTTAAATACTTTGATAACAGGTAATACCAAAATAAAATCAACTTCAAATAAAAACATTCCTTAAAACTCAATATAGCTCTAGTTCAAATCATTCAATGTCATATAGCGACAGCCTCCACAAAACAGGTAAATGATCAAAATTTCCAGAATTAACGATCATACTAGTTGCGATTACACCTTCTTCCACGACTTTAGCATGGAATTGGTCTGAAAAAGAAACAATTGTGGCCGAGTTATAGTATGATTTCAGTATTACGCGTTTTAATTTGTCCGTAAGTATGCGATAAACTTCTAAAGCTGAGATGGATGGTGTTTCGCTGGCTGGCATGGGAGCCTGCGGGGCACGCGGGTCACGTGAACCCCGATGAAATTCATCTGTGTGGTGTTTTTGCCATAATTAAAATCCGCGACTGCCAATTTCGTTAAGAAGAAGAGCTAACAGCCCGAGGCGTGCTTAGGACTTATTATGTACAGTTAATGCCGGGAATTCTAAGCGCTG